CCCAAAACAACAAATGCTGGCGAGGATGTGGAGAGACAGGAACACTCTTACACTGCTGGTGGGACTGTAAATTAGTGCAACCTCTGTGGAAAAGAATTTGGAGATACCTCAAAGAGCTAGAAACAGAAATACCATTCGATCCAGCAATAGCACTATTAGGCATCTACCCAAAAGAGCAAAAGATATGCTATAATAGAGTCATCTGCACCCGAATGTTTATGGCAGCACAATTCACTATTGCAAGGACGTGGAAACACCCAAGTGCCCATCAATTCATAAGTGGATTATTAAAATTTGGTATATGTATACAATGGAATATTAATCATAAGAAATGACAGTGATCTAGCACCTCTTATATTTTCCTGGATTGAACTTGAGCCCATTATCCGAAGTGAGGTATCATAAGATCGGAAGAATGGGCTCCACTTATACTCGCCATCAAATTGGTACTAACTGATCAACACTAGGGTGCTCACATGGCAGTAATACTCTCCAGGGATTAGGAGGATGGGGGGCAAACCTACAACTAAAGGACACGGGGAGCATTGTAGAGGGGAAGGGCATGCCTCTAACCCTCACTAGGGTGAGGCAAAGACATAAAATGTAGCCATAATGTTTGTACCCTCATAATACCCTGAAATAAAAAAAATAAAAAAATAAAGAAGAAAAATGATAACAACCTGTGAATGGGGCCACTTATTTGCCTTTTAAAAGCCCCACAGGCGATTCTGCTCCACAGCCAGGGCTGAAAACTACTGGGGCCCCTGGTGGGATATGTGAGGCCATTATAAACGATGCGAAGGAGAGTTTTTATGTAATGTGAAAAATGCTTACACATACTAAAGGCCAAAACAAATCAATAACTGGGATACTGGATTGCTTTGCCAGGAATATCTCAGCTGCCTAAAAGAAAGTAAAAACGCCAAAACTCTAAAATGGAATGACACAAAAACAACCCAAAAATCCTAGAACCTAGATGGAAACAGGCTAACACTGGTATCGCACTCCAGATAATGGGATTATGGGTGTTTTGTCTTTTCTAGTCCTCTGTTACTTTAAACATTTTTTTTACCAAGGCCAGTGCTATTTTTATAACCAGAGGAACAACTAAAAGACAGTGGCCGAGGGGGACCTCCGTATCCCCCAGCACCGTGCTGCTTGCCACCAGGCAGGCTCACCCCGGGCACCATTCTCCCCAGCCCTGCAGCCACCGTCCCCTCCCCTCTTCTAGGGCTCACACATGCTTCAAAGTCATTATTGTAAATTAATCCCCCAAACAATCTTATATGGGAAATGTTATCATTCTCTCAGATGAGGAGAACTTGCCAGAATTAAATCTATGGTTTAGAAACCATCTAGGTAACAGGGTGGTGACCTTTATTTGTCTCAATGCTTGGTCGGCAAACTTCAGGGCCTCTGGTTTCCCTCCTGGCTTTACAGAGGAAGGCCATTCTCGTCCAGATGAATGAGGCCGAACGCCTGACAGACTTGGCGTGGTTTGTTGATTCTAAGATGAAAATTCCAAGATGTTCCCATTGTAACATCTCCGAAATCTGGATGTGTCTTGTAATTGGTGGCATCCTTCAATTATAATTGGCGGCTCTCCTCCCGTTCTTAACAGCACATGAACTAATCGTGCATCTTGCGACTGAATGGCAGCTTGTGTTCAAGGAAAAGCGCCACGTCTACAACCAAACCCATCACCTTATCTTCAAAACGATACTTTTAATGACTAGGTAATATTCTGTCACGGGGATGTACTTCACCTCACCAGTTACCTGTTATGGACTCCTGGTCTGTTCTAGCTTTTTTTACCATTATAAATGCTGCTACTGTCAACAACTCGTCATTAAGCTTTCCCTTTCGTCATCCTCCTCTCCCAAGCTCCAAATCGTTTGGAGACATTTTGACATTTCTTGCCCCTCGTCTCCACATCTGACCTATTATTGAGAGTCTAGTCATTTCCTCCTTCATGGTAGCTTTTCCTGATGGCCTTCTTCTGGTTCCCATAAGATGCCTCTAACTGGTCTCTGCCTCCAGCCTCTCTTTCAGGCTGTCACTATATTACTTCTCAAACCTGACCTCAGACATGTCACGGCTCTGCTCAAAAACTATACTCCCAACAGGGTAAAGTTCACACTCTTAGCCTAGTGTTCATGGCTCTGCCAAATTTGGCTCCAACCTCTCCTGCACCCTCCACCCCCAACCCATCTCTCCAGACAACATGGCCCACTCCTCGGCCACGAAGGGTCCTGCCTCCAAGCCTTCCCTTCCTCGGTTAACTCCACACCCACCGCAGGCAGGGATGCTTCTGTCTGTCTTTTTCCAAACCTTACTCATCAGTCCCAGTTCAAGTCTCACCTTTCTCATGAGATGTGTTATGGCTCATTTGATTCTTACAACAACCTGGAGATATAGAAAAGTAAGGTATACTTATCCTCATTTTGCAGGTGAAGAAACTAAAGTTTAAACAGATTAAGTGGGTTGCTCAGGTTTTATGCAGCTAAGAAGTACAGAGCTGGCTTTAAACTCCAGGGTTCTGTCTTTAAAGCCAGTGCCTTTCAGAGCCAAGTGCAAGTACAGCCATAAACTCCTCTTGTGGAGCAACTTGTGCCCAGATCATGTAACCAGCACTGTGTACCAAGATTCACCAGCCTCTGGATTCTAGCTGCATACCTACTGACAAGGAGATGACTATGAGAGTGAAATACTTCAACTCTGTCAGTTCCCAGCAGCCCAAGGACTGGGCCAATTGTGCATTCCCATGTTAGAGAGGGGAAGACAACAAGAGTTTCCTTGAACTATGCCGGCTCTCAAAACAATGCTGAACCTGAGATCATCACAAACAATTGGAACCACCTCACTTTGAGATGAGCAGGGCACAGGATATTGCTTTGAGCTATTGTGCTTTAGAGAAACTAAGGGAAATACTTCTCGGAAAGCAAAAACAGAGCGTATCCCTTGTATTATGTGACCATGTGACTGTGACATTGCCCGGAGCTCAGGCAGCCTAGGTCAGGCCTAAGTGCTGGATGGAAAATGAGGAGGGCGGTGGTAGCATGCTCCTCCCTGAACACCCACCGTCCTGGCCACTTCACAGACAGGCCCTGGGTGAAGGGAAAACAAGGTGTTTGCTATTACTCTGTGTTTCATTTAGACACACCACGAAGTCAGGGCAGTAAAAAAAGACTTACCAGTATATTAACTGTGGCTCATAAGGAGTATTATCGCAGCTTACTCTCAGATTTTCTACATAAAATGCATTGCCTCACATCTCCTCATCTTTTGTCATTTCATCTAAATTAGATGCTATGGATTACAGAAATGAACACAAATGAACAGCCCTGGCCTGCAGGCAGTGCAACCCATTCTGGTTCCTTGCGTCCCACTCTGACTAGGCTGGGTGTGGCTGAGTCACTCTCGTGCTCAAGATGAAGGGAGCCCCGTGCTCCTGAAAGAAGAGGCCCGTCAGAAAGACTGCCTCAAAAGTTCTCTCCTATACAGGGTGACCAGGTCCCTAGGCCAAATTCTCCACTCTCCTTGGCCAGGAGCCAAGGGTAGGCCAAGTAGAGAAATATCAAACAAAGCTTCTCACGGGAGCTGGGAGAACTGGGACTGTCTGTGGTTTCAGGGAAGACCTGATGTCTTCACATCCTCACGATAACCAATCACCTCATAAGGCAGGAAGGGGACATAGATGAGCAAACCGAGGCTCTAAGAGGTGGCAGGGCCATGGGGGAGGCCCAGTCCTCATGTGCCTTGTAGTCATGCACACCAAGCCGTGAATTCCCAGGATGCTCTGCTTTCTCAAGTGCGAGCAGAGATCCTGTTGAGGGACAGGGGCAGCAAGGCACGGGAGAAAGCAGGGCTTTGGGCCCATCTGGCTCCTCCCACGGCCAGTCATTCCTCCTCTCTGAGTCTCGGTTTCCGCCTTTGTAAAGCGGAGGTGATCATCGCCACTCCACGGGTGACCGTAAGTCCTCGGCGACGGCAGGTGAGTGTGAAGGGCCTGGCATGTATCTGACATGGTCACTATCCAGGGTGGGGTTGGGGGAGGGTTTCAGCAGTCACCAAGCAGCCAGTGTCTCACAGGACAGCATGGCTTCCTTGTGCTAAGATGTAACGCAAGGAGAGAACACCCACCCATGACCCTCCACCACAAAGACATACAACCTCTCCTTGGTGAATTCAAAAACCAGAAGAGTCACAGGATTTCCTGTGGCCCCTGAGGTATGAGTCTGGGCCCTGACCAAACACAAACTCTGTAACAGGCCAAGAGGCTACTCACCGGCTCGATTTTCAGAGCGTTTCGGTAGCTCCCAAAGAAAGCCGCCTGGGCCTTGAGGAACGCTCTGGCCACACCATCACCAGTGGTCGTGGAGACCTTCTTCAGCCTGTTCTTCAGTGAAGAAATCTGGTGACGGACAAAAAAGAAACGCATACTGAGGACAGGGTCAAAGGAAGATGGCTGACAAGCCCAGTACACATGGAACCCAAGAAAATCCAAGGGACCGGGGACTGATTTGATACCTCACCTGCTGGGAGAACAAAAATGTGTTCAGTATTAGGGCATGTTTTTGAAATTGAAATGAATGTTCCTCTTATTAGAACATGTCTAATAAAAACAAAAACTGTTATTTAACCACTTACTACATGCCAGGTTCAGCACTTTCACAAATAATTCCTTCAACAATCCTGTAAGGAAGGGATCAGTGTTCCCATCTTACAAGGATAAAATAGTCTCAGAGAGGTTAGGTTACACACCTAGGAACAAACCCAAGAAGTGGCCAAGTTGGAATTTGACTCAAAGTCTTCTGATCTGAGCCCAAATTACACAAAAACTTTTAGTTCCATTCCCTCTAGAAACTACTTGCAAGTACTAAAAATAAAAGGCTTACTTGTATACCTCACTATACTCTAAAAGAATAGTGGCTTATAGATATATACTGAACAGGTTAAAACAAAATAGATAAGAAAGCGATGGCAATGGAGAAGAAAGCAGTGGCTGATAATAGATTTAGTATATAAATGTAGGCTACAAGCTCTTACATGGTGGCTAGGAAGGGGTTCAAAATTAGTAGCCAAAGAAAAGAGGCAAACATGAAAATTCTGGGTCCATGTGTTAAAAACAAACCAGTTGCTCAAATGAATAAAGATTTTCCTGAAGGCCGGGCGCGGTGGCTCACGCCTGTAATCCTAGCTTTCTGGGAGGCCGAGGCGGGCGGATTGTTTGAACTCAGGAGTTCGAAACCACCCTGAGCAAAAGCGAGACCCCGTCTCAACCAAAAATAGAAAGAAATTAATTGGACAGCTAAAAATATATATAGAAAAAATTAGCCGGGCATGGTGGCGCATGCCTGTAGTCCCAGCTATTCGGGAGGCTGAGGCAGAAGGATTGCTTGAGCCCAGGAGTTTGAGGTTGCTGTGAGCTAGGATGACGCCACGGCACTCTAGCCGGGGCAACACAGTGAGACTCTGTCTCAAAAAAAAAAAAAAAAAAAAAGATTTTCCTGAAAGCGAGACTTCAAAGAGCCTTTTCCCATCAGTCAACGTAAGAAAGACTGTAATATGGTAGCTGTCGCCCTCAACATCAAGCTTCCCAGACTTTCTAATATGCCCGTCATTCATCTCAGGATGCCGTATTGCACAAACGTCAGAGCACACCATTCACGCTGCGTTCCATGTGAAAGTTGTCCCTGAAATTGTACAACGTAGTGACCTCGAATCATTCATTCACTCTACAAATAGTTATGATTGCCTACCATGCCCAGGACTATGTTAGGTGTTGAGGATACAATGGTCAGTGAAACAAGACACAGGCCTTGCCCTCATTCAGGTGACATTCTAGTGAGAAAAATACATGGGACTTCACTATCGTGACAAGCCTGTAATAGAGCTTGCCAAGGAGGTCAAGGAAGGCCTCCTGGAGGAGAGCAGGCAGGCTTGAACTGAGATCCAAAGGATGAGTTAAAGTAGTTAAGTAGGCAAAGAGGGGAGGGAATAGTGTGTTAAGTATGGGAGGTGACATGCAAAGGCCCTGTAGGAAGGAGGTGTTCAGAGAACAGAAAGAACTGCAGCTTCAGTGGAAAGAATGAGGGGGAATATGGTTTAAAATGAGGAGGGAGAGAAAGGCAGGGGCCAGCAGGGATTTTTTCCTTCATCTTGAGAGAAAAAGAAAGCTAATGAGTGTTTTTAAGCACGCAGGTGACGTATCAAGAGCGCATTTCAGGGCAAGAAATTCTGCAAGGGGTTTGGATAAAGGACTATCCAACAGTCTGACACTATTGAAGAATAAAACTTAGGGCCCGGCAGGGTGGCTCATGCCTGTAATCCCAGCACTTTGGGAGGCCAATGTGGGAGGATCAATTGAGGCCAGGAGTTCGAGACCAGCCTTGGCAACATAGCAAGATCTCGTCTCTATAAAAAATTAGCCAGGCATGGTGGTGCACGCCTGTAGTCCCAGCTACTTAGGAGGCTGAGCCAGGCGGATTTCCTTGAGCCCAAGAGTTTGAGGTTGCAGTGAGCTGTGACTACACCATTGCACTCCAGCCCAGGCAACAGAGCAGACTCTGTCTGGGAGGGGGCCCATGAATCACGCACAGATTCGTAGTATGAATGAGTATGAATGAGTGATGATTATTTTTCCAGGCATAGGGTTCATAGCTCTCCTCAGATTCCTGAAGGTGCCTGTGAACCTAAAAATACAAAGACTCACTGATCTAGGATGGACTACGTCCACTTTAGAAATGATCCATGGACATTACGTCTTGTTGCCAAGCTTCTGATAAGGAAATTTTTAATAGCTTATTGAGTTCTATATCATATATGATAAAAATCATTCAATTAAAGTATAGCGTTCAGTGGTTTTTCACGTAGTCACAAGGTGGTAGAGCCATCGCTACTACCTAACTCCAGAACATTTTTATCACCCCAGAAATCCCCACCAGTTCTACTCTCACTCCAGCCCTCAGCAACCCCGGCAACCACTAGTCTACCTTTTGGCCCCAGGGACTTGTCTACTCTGGACATTCCACATAAAAGGAATTGACGATATGTGGTCTTTTGTGACTGGATTGTTTCGCTTTGCACAAGGCTCATTATGAACAAGGATCACCCACGTTGTGGCACGTGTCAGTACTTCATTCCTTTTCATGGCTGAATAATATCCCCTTGTATGGATAGACCACATTTTATTTATCTGTTCATCAGCTGGTGGCCATTTATGCTATTTCTACTTTTTGGCTGTTACGAAGAATGCTGTTGTGAAGATTCGTGTGCAAGCTTTTTGTGAAGACAACAGAGATTTTGCAGTGAGACCCTGAAGAGCAGAAGTCCTCTGTGGCCAGACCTTACACAATGCAGATAAGCTGACAGGGCACAGGAAGCCACCGGGCACCGTGCTCAGCACACTGCAAGCCGTTAACAAATGTTCACTGCACATAGGGAAAGAATCCGGTGCTGCCACTAGGGGTGTGCCATGTGCCTGGACAGCACCCTGAAGGGGGCGATCGGAACACGCCCTGGGGGTGGCTACCCCAGCCCTGCTCCAAGGTGGGCCACGGAAAACAATTTTCCTCTGGAAGCAGTTTGGAGTCTATCTCAACACCTGGGTGTACATAACTGGTTTACTGTGACCTCTGCTTTTCTGGGACACATAAGCCCCAGTGCCACTGTGGTAAGAGCCCGCGAGGAGCAACGTAGGCCACTCAGCACCCGGGCAGACTGTCGTGGACTTTCTACTTGAAATAGAAATACAAAAAAGAAACATGCTGTATTAAAACGTTAAAAATATTACCCATTTCTTGCCCCCCAAATAATAAAATTCTGCCCCTCCCAGGGATGAGAGTGACATTTCCTTTGAAATGGTGCAAGCCACCGTCGCTCTTCTTTTGCCTCCTCAAAGGCGTCGGGCCACCTGTGCCGAAGATTATTCCTCACTTAACCTTCCCTGGCCTTTCTCTTTCATTCCGGAGGTGTTTAATTACCTTGGATTCACAACGCTGCACTTCAGGTGAGCCTCTCCTAATGGCCTCATTACCATTTTACACAAAGAAGGAGTCGCTGATTGTGACTGAGCAGTGAGTGCGTTCCTTCCTGCCTGCCCCAGCAGGTCCGACACCAGCCAAGTGGTCCTGGGCTCCTCCGGCCCCTGTCACCACTTAGGCCAGGACTCCCGAAAACCTCCCCTCGTGCGCAACGTGGAAAAGCTTTTGTCTTGACCTACCAGCTCTTCAAACTTTGAAAATGCAAGTACAGGTGCATCTGATCGCTGGTGATAGCATTTGTCCTTTAGACGAAAGTGAGGGAAGAAAATTTCAGGTTGAAATAACCCACAGCCATACAGCTACAGATGAACTCGCCCTGAGGACTCATAGGGCCGCTGGGCAAATCATTAACATCGAGGTCCATCAGGGGTGATCTCGATGTGTTGGAAGTGCCGGTAAGGATAGCGTCCTCCTTCAATCAAGTGGCACAGGAGGAAGACAGAAAGTAGAGGAAGACAGTACAAAACTGAGTTCCTCAGCTTCTCCCTGAAGTTGCCCTCTGTGCACTCTCTGGCTTATTGCAGCGTGGTCCAGCCAGTCTCCTGGGCAAGATGTCAGATTCCATACCTCTCCTTCCCTTCCCTCAACCCTTTCCCACATCTTTCAACACCAACTCAGATGTGTCCGACTCCGCCCTCTCCTCTCGGTGCCCATGACCCTGGTCCTCCGACGTTCCTCTCCACCCATCTTCTCTGGCCCAGGCTGGTGGAGGAGCAGCCTAAGTGGGCTCTCTGCCTTCAGTTTCTCCTCAATGCCACCCACCCACATCTGTCCTAGTAATCTTGGAAAAATACGAATCTGACCACTTCGATCCTCCATTAGAATCTTTCTATGCCCCCGCCCCTCACCACCATCACCTTCAGAAAAACACCCAGACTCCCCAGGGGAGTCTGCGCAAGCCTTCCTCAACAGGCCTCGCTTCTGTCCCCCACTCGACGTCCTCAACAGGCCTCGCTTCCGTCCCCCACTCTACGTCCTCAACAGGCCTCTCTTCTGTCCCCCACTCGACGTCCTCAACAGGCCTCACTTCCGTCCCCCACTCGACGTCCTCAACAGGCCTCGCGTCCCCCACTCGACGTCGTACTTGACCCATGCTGAACTGCTGTCCAGAAACATACACTACTATCCAGCCCATTCCCGTGTCTTCACTCAGAGTTCTCTCTTGTCCTTCCCTGTCCTGCTTGTGAACATCTATTTACCCTTTAAAAGACTGTCCGAGTCTCCATCAAGAGGGGCCTATTGAAATTATACCATATCCTTACAGGGAAATACTGCATAGCTGCGAAAAAGAGCATGGGAGTACTCTATGAACTGACATGAAAAAATGTCCAAAAATACTGTCACATGGAGGAAAAATGCAAGTTGTAGA